AGCGCTACCAAGCGCTCCCAGGCGCTCCCACGCTCTCCCAAGCGCTCCCGGCACGCTCCCAAGCGCTCCCCGCGCGCTCCCAGGCGCTCCTGGCAGGCTCCCAGGCGCCCCCAGGCGTTCCCAAGCGCTGCCAGGCGCTCTCGGGCGCTCCCGGCACGCTCCCAAGCACGCCCCCAGGCGCCCACGGATTCCCACGCGCTCCAAAGCATTTACAAACGCGCCAAGGCGCCACGCGGTGCTCCCAGGCGATCCCGCGCGCTCCAGAGCGCTCCCAAGCGTGCCTAGGCGGTTCCAGGCGGCCCCAGAGCTCCCGGGGAAGGCTCCAGGCGCTCTCCCAGCGATGCCAGAGGGCCCTCCCAAGGCATTCCACGGGCTCTGCCATGGAGGTGCTGCCGCAGCCATGCGCGCGCATCGTGGCGAGGGGGTGCCAGACCCACCCCCTCGCGCTCCCCCTCCAGCCGTCCGAAGCTCGCGCCGAAGGCGGCTGCGTCGATGATTGCAATCGCTTCAGCGGGGGGGCGACCCCAAAGGCGAAACCCCAAGCCGCAGGCGAATGTAACTGCCGTGCGCTTCGCCGTCAGCGAGGAGCCCGACGGCGCAGCCACTCGCTTGAGGCGCAGGGGGGCCCATAGTATTGTCACGCCAGCGCCCTTGCAGTGCTGCTTTCCAATGCCGACGGCAAATGCCGGGCCCCTGTGGATCTGCTGCGCCAACGGCAGCCCAACGGCGAAGCTCCACACAGAAGGCGCAAACGGCTGCCTCATCGACGAGGCGAGCTGGCGCGCCAGCGCCACGCACACTGCGCGCGTGTTCGCATGGGCGCGCATTGCCACGGCCGCGGCCGCGCGCGCGCTTCCCAGCATTCGCAGCCCAGTGTCACAGCCCAGCGCCGACAGCAAAAGCGACAACACATAAGCATGCTGCGCCAGCGGCAGCCCAACGGCGAAGCTAATCGCCGCCATCGCCAACGGCTGCCTCTTCGACGGGACAACGAGCCGAAGCGCCGCCTACGCCACGCGCCCTGCGCGCGTGCTCACGTGGATGCGCAGCGCCACGGCCGCGTCGGCGATCGCCTGCGCGCAACACTTCGACAGCCCCCCGTGATAGGGGGGTTGGGGGGAGAAACCCTAAACCCTAAAAGGCTTCACTCTGGGTGGTCTGGGGCGGGAGTGCGACTAACCGTGGCGCGCGCGGCTTGGGCAGCGATCCCCCCCAACAACCTTGATGGGGGGGGGATCGCAGCCAGCGCGCGCCTGCGCCAATGCAGGCCCTAAACCCTAAACTGCAGGCGCGGACCTGGGGGCGCGCACCGCCACGCCTGTAAGGATCTGCTAGTGAGAGCGAGCTGCAAGTCGAGCTCACCGCGACCGTAGGCCTGCCGGCCCGAGGCGGTGCTTCGCTTGCACAATGATAACCCCTAACCCTCCGCCGGATGCTCGCGGATACCGCTCACTTCTCCCCCGGAGCTCTCCCCCAGAGCTCTCCCCCAGATCTCTCCCCCAGAGCTCTCCCCAGAGCTCCCCCCCAGAGCTCTCCCCCAGAGCTCCCCTCCAGGGCTTCCCCCCAGAGCTCTCCCCCAGAGCTCTCCCCCAGAGCTCTCCCCCAGAGCTCTCCCCCAGAGCTCTCCCCCAGAGCTCTCCCCCAGAGCTCTCCCCCTCTCCCCCAGAGCTCTCCCCAGAGCTCTCCCCCAGAGCTCTCCCCCAGAGCTCTCCCCTCTCCCCCAGAGCTCTCCCCCAGAGCTCTCCCCCAGAGCTCTCCCCCAGAGCTCTCCCCCAGAGCTCCCCCAGAGCTCCCCCAGAGCTCTCCCCCAGAGCTCTCCCCCAGAGCTCTCCCCCAGGCGCGCCCCTGGATCGAGCCTGCCATGCGGATCTTCACGGCCCCCTCCACAATCCTATGCAAAACATAATATAAACTGACCATGCGTGTTCCCAGGCGCGCCCCTGGATCGAGCCTGCTATGCGGATCTTCACGGTCTCTCCACAAACCTATGCAAAACATATTATAAACTGATCATGCGTGCTCCCAGGCGCTCCCCTGGATCGAGCCTGCTACGGTGATCTTTACGCCCCGCTATGTAAACAATCCTATGCAAAACATAATTTAAACTATTCACGCGTGTTCCCAGGCGCGCCCCTGGATCGAGCCTGCTATGCGGATCTTCACGGCCCCCTCCACAATCCTACGCAAAACATATTATAAAGTGATCATGCGTGCTCCCAGGCGCGCCCCTGGATCGAGCCTGCTATGGGGATCTTTACGTCCCGCTATGTAAACCATCAGAATCCTATACAAAAAATATCATAAACTGATCACGCGTGCTCCCAGGCGCACCCCTTGATCGAGCCTGCTATGGGGATCTTTACGTCCCGCTACGTAAACCACCACAATCCTATGCAAAGCACGGTGAGGTCGGGCGAACCCTCGAGTGCGCTCGACCCGACCCGACCCGCTTGTTACGGTTCACGCGTGTTTCTGGGACGCGCATCACTCACTCAGGCTGGCGCCAGCACTCCTTCTCCCCTTGATAGGGGGGAGCGTGGGGGGTAGATCCCCAAACCCTAAAAGCAATGACTCTGGGTGGATGGGGTGGGACAGAACGCACCCATCCATCCCCCCCTACCTCCTGGGGAGGGGGGGATAGGATGGTTCTGCGCAGAAGCCCTAAACCCTAAATTCCCAAGCACCTCGTTGTGCTTCTGCCCACCCCACCGCGCATCACCGTCGCCGTCTGCGAGAGACAGGGCTTCTCTGAGATGCTTGAGCATGTTGCCCGACTGGGTCGTCCTGGTAGCCTAGGGCTACCTAACCCCACGCTTGGGGATCTACGATGCAAAGATAAACCATGCTTGATCTTCGAAGAGTACAACACCCTAAACCCGGCGACCTTTCGTCCTCGGATGGTGCTCTACATGTCTCCGACACGTAAAAACACGTGTGGGGCGCTCTAAGCGCTTCTGGGCGCACTTGGGAGCGCCTGGAAGCGCTTGGGAGCGCTTGGGAGCGCCTGGGAGCGCCTGGGAGCGCCTGGGAGCGCTTGGGAAGCGCCTGGGAGCGCCTGGTAGGGAGCGCCGGGAACCGCGGGAGCGCCGGGGAGCGCCTGGGAGCGCCTGGGTGCGCCTGGGAACGCTTGGGAGCGCCTGGGAGCGCGGGAAGCGCCTGGGAGCGCCGGGAAGCGCCTGGGAGCGCCGGGGAGCGCTTGGGAGCGCCGGGGAACGCCTGGGAGCACCTGCGAGCGCCTGGGAGCGCCTAGAGGGGCGTGCCGGGGAGCGCCTAGGCGCGCCTGGGAGCGCCTGAGAACGCTTGGGAGCGCCTGGGAGCGCCTGGGAGCGCCTGGGTGCGCTTGCGAGCGCATGGGAGCGCCTTGGAGCGCCTGGGAACGCCTGGGAGCGCTTGGAGCTTTTTGGGAATTTAGGGGCCAGCGGCCCTAAACCCTAAAAGGCTTTAGATTGGGAGGTCGCCGGCCATGCGGCCGGGGGTGGGAAGATGTTGCACCTCCTGCCCCCTTCGCCAAGCTTGATCGGGTCGGCTAAACGCCCCCCCAATCAAGCTTGCCGAAGGGGGGGCAGCCTTGCCTGGACTGTCGGCCGCTGCGCGCCCGAGAAGCCCTAAACCCTAAACCCTAAGCCCTAACCCCTAACCCTAACCCTAAACCCTAAACCTCGCTCGCCCCGGACCCCTGCGGAAAGGGGGGGAGGGGGGTGGGGGGGTTCCGACCTCCCCCCCCCCCTTTCAGTGGAGGGGGGGGGGGGGAGGGGTTCCGACCCCCCCACACACACACGCACACACACACAACACACACACACGCACACACACACACACACACACACACACACACACACACACACACACACACACACACACACACACACGCACACACACACACACACACACACACACCACACACACACACACACACACACACACACACACACACACACACACACACACACACACACACACACACGCACACACACCTTTCAAAGGGGGGGAGGGGGAGGGGGGTGTTCTCGGACCCCCCCCCCCCCCCCCTGAAGGGGGGAAGGGGGGGGGGGGGGGGTCACCTGGAGCACGCGCCCCCTTTTGTGTCTTCAAGGTGTTCCACTGGCGCACTTTCGCACTTTTGGGCCGTCCTGGGGCCTTGTTGGGCCATCTTGGGGAGCTGGGGCCCTCCAGAGGTCTTCTGAAACCATCTAGGGCCCTCCTGGGGGCCTCCAATGGCTTTCTTAAGGGTATCCCATGGTTCTCGCGGGTCTCTCTTGGGAGCCTTCTGGGGGCATCTTGGGCTTCTTGTTGGCAGTCTCGGGGCTCTCTGGAGCAGTCTTGGGGCCCTCTTGGGCCGTCTTCAAACCCTCCGGGGGGCCTCTTGGGACGTCTTGGGGCGATATCGAGGGCCCATCGGGCCGTCTTGGACGCTGCGAGGACCCCAATAGCGGATATGCTAAACGATATTTTTTTCCCTTTGCACGCGCGCGGGTGCAGCGAAGGGCGCGCGGGCCCAGACGCGGACGGCGTCTGACGGCGACCGAAGAGCAATGCCCGGGAGGGGCTGGCGGCTCGCGGCGGGCCCAGGCGGAATATCACGCCTGCCCGGCGCCAGTCCGCGCTAAACTTGTGACAATTACGGTGCGGAAGATATCAGCCACATGGGGGGCGACGACTGCGAATTAAGGCAATGTTAAAAATCAAGCGGGTATAACGCATGTGGGTGTGTGTGTGTGTGTGTGCGTGTGTGTGTGTGTGTCCTCCTCCTCCTCATTCTCCTCCATGATCGCGAGACTTGCGGGCTAATTTCCCGAAGGGGGTCCCGCCATGGCTCCCGCCCAACGGGCTCAGTAACAGCTGAACCGACAGAAGACACCAGCCAAGGTTCTTCTGGACAGCGCACGGCGGCATGCGCAACTTCCTGATTCTCAGAATCCGTGCCTGCTCAGTGGGTCAGCTGATGCTCTGCGCTGGCCCGCATAGCAAGCGCTGTGGCACAGCTGGCGTAGCTGTCAGAGTCAGAACACGCGATGAAGAATAACTTCGGGGCCCACGAGGGTGGCGGACACTTGAACTAGCCCAACGGACTTTAGACAACCCCGCGCCCCATCATTGAGCCGTCGCTCCAGGAAGCACTGCTGAAAAAGCACAGCTCTGCAAGATTTCTTCGCCTTGCATTGCGAGCACTCCTGATTCCTGCCGAGGTTGTACATGCCGCATTCCGTGCACCTAAAAGTTCGATTCCTTCCAGTCTTGCGATTCTTCTGCTTGTTACAAAATGGATATGACAAAAAGGGCAATCCTGTCCTTTGTGGCAACCGCTCTGCCTCGTTAGAAAATAGCACGGCTTGCATTCACCATTGTGGCAAGTCACTGACCCCGTCGACGGCATCCGCCACGACGTTTTGCCGCGGTTGGTGTGCCGAGCCAACAACTAATCCCACCAGCCCTCTGGGCGTAGGTGGTCTTTCCTCTTCCAAACAACCTCTTTTCTTCGAGGAGGGGTACCTCCCCCCCTCCCTGAGCTTTTCTGCGTTCCTCCCTCCCCTAACGATCCCCCTCCCCCATCCCTCTTCATTCAAATGAGTCCCCTCGTCCGATCACCAAGCAAGTCGGCAGGGTGGGTCGGGCGATTCGCTTGGGGCGTCATCACGACGTAAGACAGAGAAACTCATAGCTTCCAACATCTACGCAGAAGGAGGCCGTGTGCCCCCCGGTGCTCGCACGGTTGGCCTCAGTGTGGAACGCAGGCCTGGATTTTGAACGCCCATGCCACTTCGGTAGGAGCGCGCCCTTGGGCCAACGAGCAGGAAGGGGAATAGGGGAGGGGGAGGGAAAGAAATGAGAGAGCTAGCGTGCAAGCACGCAAGCATGGATACGCGCACGGATAAACGGTTGAAACCTTGAAGCGTTCAAACATGCAAGTCGGCAAGCACGCAAGCATGCAATAACGGAAGAAGAGGGGTTGAAGGAAGAGGGAGAGGAGAAGGGGAAGGATGAACACGAGCACTGCCCAGGTGCAGAACGGATCAGCAGGACGCAAACGAGGAAGGCATGACGGTAAGCAGCATTAATCGCCAGCGGCAGTGACGCGGAAGCAATCTCAACAAATCTATTGAACATCAAATGTAAATACCGGAAGCAAGGCGTCGAAATGGCTGGGGCTTAAAAGACACTTGACAGGTATTGAAACTGATGGCATACCCCGACATTCGTCTAACGCCGTGATAGGGACCCTGCTTTCGCCCGAGGCTCGGCGCTCCCCAGGCATGCGCTAAAACAGATACTAAGTTCAAGAAGTACCGCGGCACTCGCAGCTGGACAACACAACTGCCCGAAGAGATATATCGTTTATACATGGTACCTGATGGTGTGGTGGATGTTACCTGATGTGATGCTGTTGGTGACGACAGTTGTAGTTCCTATTGATGGCACTTGATGTCTGCCATGAGAAAAGACGAGCTCCCTCACTCGCGCCAAACACAGCTACAGCGTGCACCTGAGATCATAGTGCCGCGGCCTGCCCAGCAAAAAAAAAAACGCGCTTTATGTAATGTGTCTTTTATACAGGCGTGGTCCTGCCAGTGTCAGGTGAAACCTGCGATTGCGCTTCTTGTACACATAATTGGCTTGACCACATGTATATTTTACGCAGACATATACATACGTGTATAACCAGCGATGCCATATCACGGGCCGGCGGAATGAGCGAAGCGATTCAATAAACTCACTTAAATGTATGTCTGGCGACAAAGCTAAAAACAGGCACGCCAGATTTACAAAGTCAGAATTCATCTCGCTTTTACACAGGAGTGCTTGCTTAAGTTGCCACATCTTGGCCAGCATTCATTGCACCAGCATGGACCTCCTGTAGTTGCTGCATGGATGCGTAAACGTGGTGTCCTCATGCATCTTCCCCAAGGCTTTCATGACACGCTGCCGTAGTTCTGGTGTGACAAAGTTACGGGCAACTTCATCCGCCTGGTACTCGATCTCATGATTATTTGCTTGCGAGCCGGCATCCATTACATGGTTGTTGATTACGTGCCCCACCTCATGAGCAACTGAGAAAAGAACCACGGAAGCCATCTCGTCCGGCTCGAGATCAGTTTCTTCCTTCTGGAGCCAATCCCTCAGACTATTAGGATTGTAAACCACACGCCATCCATCTGATGGGTGGTACTTGGCACTCAGAGGGCAATCTGACGACCTATCAAGATACACATCAAGGTTAACCTCTTGGTCATCTGTGGTCACTGCTTGAATACTTTTCAAAACACACTGCTTTCCAATAGGCAACTCCTGCAGACCCAAAAGGCAATCATCCAATTCGCCACTGCTGTCTGCCTGGAAATTACCCTCTAGATTGAAGGTCTGGTCAGCAAATGTCAACGTCATTGCTTGAAGATTGATAATTGCCATTGCAGCCGAAAAGATTGACCCAAAATGGCTTGAGCCAAAATGGCTTGAGCCACAATGGCTTGAGCCAAAATGGCTACGGATGCTAAACGATAAAAATTCCCCCTCGGGAAAGGGACGATTGTGTTGCTTCTTCGGGGCTCTCTTAACGGCCTCTTGGGGCGTCTTCAACCATCGGAATTCCTATTGGAGCGCTCTTGTGCTGTCTTGGGTCTCTCTTGCGCCTCTCCGATGACCAAGGGCGTCCAGGGGGCCGTCGAAACGTCCGAAAAGGCGTCCGGGGCGTCCCTGGGGGGTGGTCCGGTTTAGGGGTGGGGGGGTGGGGGGGGTCTGGGCAATAACACTCTAATAAAAGGAATATGCACCGATGTTTAACTACACGGCACTCCGTCGGGCGATAAAGAGGCTGTGGAAGAAACAATCAACTAATGACAGCTGCGAAGGTTGTGACTGTGACGATGCTGGTGATGCGCTCACGACTGGACGGCGATGCAAGACGACGATGGTGGCGACAATGTGCGACGGCGATGCTGACGACAGTGCGTTGACTGGATTGCAACCGATTGGGTTGCATTCGATTGGGCTGTAAAGAATTGGGTCGAGACATCATCCTGACACCATCAGGACAGTCGGACATTCCCAGCACACCACCAGGACACCATTGGGACACCATCGGGACACCAATCGTGACACCAATCGTGACACCAACCGGGACACCACCAGGACACCATCGAGACAGAATCGAGACACCACCGGAACACCATCGGGACACCGCGGGACACCATCGTGACATCGCGGGACACCAAGGACACCGGGGGACACCATGGGACACCGTCGGGACACCACGGCGGAACTCCCCTGGCACCCACCCGCCAACCCGGGGGGCGGACTCCTGCCCTAGCCAAGAGGAAGGTGCATTGCTCTCGCCCGTCCACGCAGTTTCGCCTCGCCCGCACGCACGACACGAACCCGACACCGAAACGGATTTCCCGGTGAGGTGCTCCCCGTTTCGCTCCGATCTCACCCCCCAACCTCGGACATACGCATGTATGCAACTCTGTGTATCTTTACACACACACACACTAGAACCCTCGCGCGCTTCGGGCGCGCTCAAGTTCTAGCTGGGCTTGATGGGCTAACTTATGGAATATCATTGTTGTCGCTTCTTGCGTCGAGACGCTCTTTTGGAGGCCCCGCGCAAGCCTCGGAACCGTATAGGAGGGGAGCTGCGGAAACGCGGAATTCATAAATTCCCGTTAGGAATTCATAAATTCCCGTTCATAAATTCCCGTTAGGTATTCAAATGCTTCCTGGTTTCTTTTCTGGGAGCTGAAGGGGGCCTGAATTGTGGTCTGATGTGCAAACATAGACAAGGGGCGAAGTTGACAAGTAAAAAAAGTGTGGGGGAGCTTGGAGAGCCGCCCGAAAGCTGTCTTGGGTTGCTTGGGGGCGTCTTGGGCCTTCCTTGTACGTTATGGAGGCTTCTTGGGGTCGTGTTGGGCGTTCCTTGGGCGTTTTGAGGGCTCCCCGGGAGGCCGGGAAGCGTGGTACCGGGAGCGTAAGGCGGATGTCACGGGGAGGTGTGGGACCCCCGGGAGGGGGGGGCGTACGTCGTTAGTCATATGCGTTGCAAGCGCAAGATCTGTGGTGCAGCCTGCGTTGAAGGGACCCTGGGACACACACACACACACAAACACACACACACACATAAATACACACAAATAAAAGGCCTCCCCATATTTTCTTATATTTTCTGGGTTTCTGCCTTCCCCCCACGGCCCATATTTTCCAACATTTTCTAGGGAATCGACGATTAATTGTATCGGTGTTTTTTTTTTCCCCTCCGGATGTGTGGCGTAGGCTGCGCTGTGCAGGCCGTGTGGCGCCCTGGCAGGCCCGGGCCGCACGGGGCGCCCACGACGCGCCCACGGGAGGCCACCAGGCAGACCTCCCCCCACCCCAGAGGCAGACCCCCCCCTCCTCTCTGCCTGCGCCAACCCGACCCGCCCCGAAAGCGCCAAGCGTGTTCCCTGGGTGAAGGGGCCCCAGGACACACAAATAAATACACACAAATAAAATGATCCCCCATTTTTTTTTTTAATATTTTCTGGGCTTTTGTCTTCCCCGCCACTTCCCATATTTTCCCATATTTTCTGGGGAATCGACGATTCATTGTGTCTGTGTGTTTCTTTCCCTCCTGAGCCAGGCGTGTTCCCTGGGGAGCTCCCTCACAGATCGCCGGGCGACGCAGCGACCCTGCCGTTCCCCGCCTTGGCCCCCCGCGCCTCTCGCGCCACGCCGACCTGGCGACCCCTGCGCGGGCCCCCCTCGCGGGGGCCCCCTCGCGACGGGGGCCTCTCGCGAGGGCGGCCTTCCTGGCCATCGCTCGGACGTCCGTTTCCTGTGTTTTTGTTGGTTTCGTGCGTGCTTTCTTCGCCAAATCATCAAGGATGCTCCTCCATGGTCCTCGCCGACGGAAAAATGCACACGTCCGAGCGATGCCAAGCCTCCTCGCGAGGGGCCGCTCTCGAGAGGCAGACCCCGGCCCACGCACGAGGCGCCCACGGCGCGCCCACGGGCGGCTCGAGCAGACGAACTCCCCCGAGGCGGCCGCCGGGCGCCCACACCGGCGGCCACCGGGCGGAGCATAGGTCGCAGAGTCGGCGGGGCCCCTGCGCTCCCCCCCGGCGCGCGCTCACGCACCGCCACCGCCAGGCGCGCGCGGCGCTGCCAGGTCGGGCCGGGCGAAAGGAGGGGATATAGCAAAGGGGGGGGGGTTCGAGGATCCGCTCCCGCATATACGGCTGCTTCTCCCCGGCGCCTCCCTATGCGCCGGGAGGCGCCCCAGGCCTCTCTCGAGGACGGAGCCCGGCGGGGGGGGCCGAAACCAGCCGCGTGCCGCAGCTCTCGTACCATTCCCCCCCCTTTCCCAAGATATCCCCCAGCGTTCGTTCGGCCCGAGGCAGGTCGGGGGCACCCGGGAGCTCGAGGGCGCCCCCCTTGCCTGGCCGACCAGCCGCGTGCAGCAGCTCTCGTACCATCCCCCCCCCTTTCCCAAGATATCCCCCCAGCGTTCGTTCGGCCCGAGGCAGGTCGGGGGCACCCGCGGGAGCTCCAGGGCGCCCCCTTGCGTGGGCCGGCTGCACAGCGCACGGGCGAGCAGGGTGGGCCACGAGGGGCCGAGTCCGCACATCGATGTCGCTGCCGGCCAGGGTGCGGCTCTTTTGGAGGGGCCCTGGGACACACACACAAATACATACGCACAAATGAAAACATCCCCCATACTTTTCCATATTTTCTGGGCTTCTGTCTTCCCCCCCACTCCCCGTATTTTCCTACATTTTCGGGGGGAATCGACGTCATTGTGTCTGTGTGCTTCTTCCCCTCCTGATCTTTGCCGAACGACAGACGCATTCGCCTCCGGAAGAGCACCCCCCCTGGCCTCGGATACACAAGGGGGGCGCCAGTGCGTATCACCCGAGGCTGCCTGGCCAAAAGCTCTCTCACGCCCTGCGGAGAACTCTCGGCGGGGCGCCCTGGCCAGAAAGCGAGCAAGGTGGCATGGTAGGCAAGCTGGGCAGCCCGCCCCGCAAAACTGTCCCCGACGAGAAACGCACGCACTTCTACACCGAAGTAGCACTTTCAAGTACGTAACGAACGGCACCGGGGCTGGACCTAAACGTTGTTGTTCGTTTTGCTTTCGTTGTGTGCTTCGTGCTGCTCTACCCGCTTTCCTTCCCCTCCCTCCCAGAACGAAAAACACAGCCGAAGTCCAGCAACACAAAAACGTTTAGGTCCAGCCCTGAGCGACACAAACACCCCTGATGGAAACACTGCTTGAAGACTATAGGATCGAGTAGTAGGGCACATGCTGGAATCGTCGGCTAAAACATGCAGTATGCCTGTCTGCCTGTCGCTAAGATACAACGCGACCCCGTGCTGATCGTCTACGTGCTGTAAAGCGTCACGCGTGAGTAGGCGTGCAAACATGCTGACCAGGCTATTGGCGCTTCCCTCCACCCCCTCATCATCCTCATTCCGCCTCCTTCTAGCCCCCCTCATCCAATGCCCCCGTATCTTCCATCAACGTCCTCGTAGTCTTTACTCCCTCCTCCAACACGTGCGTGCGACGACAATTGTGGACTTCAGGCTTCTGAAATTTTCAGGCCTGTTTGAAGTGAGTCTAGGTCGAGGCCTGCATCGACCAGCTCCTGGTGCTTCCCGCGCCAGGCAGAGGGCGCGCTCCGTGCGTCCAGCCGAAGGGCTGACGTGGGCTGCTTGGATAACAACTGCCTGCACGCGTAGATTGGCCGACCTCCTCCCCATCACGCCCTCGTCCTCCCTCGCTCCCTCCTCGGCCACCTGCACCACCACCTCCTCCTCCTCCTCCTCCTCCTCCTCCTCCTCCTCCTCCTCCTCCTCCGCCTGCCCTCTCCCCACCCCCCTCTCCAGCAGAGGGGGGCGGCCTTGCCTCGGGCCGGACCCGCCAGCCTGAGGTGCCGCAGCGCAACGGGCACCTGAGGAGGTGCCGGCGGGGTCGGCCGCACGAGCAGCTGCAGCTGGCAGCGTCGCTGACGCCCGGCACGGAACCGTGCTGTTGGTACGATCCCCACCCCTGCGGGAGCCGTCTCCCCCCCCCCCCCCCCGGGGACCTCCCCCTTTACTTGGGCGCCCGAGTTATCCGGGGTAACTCGGGCCCGGGGTCACTCGGGTTCGGATTCCCGAAAAACGAACCCGAGTTAGCCCTGACCCGAATTACCCTTGATGATTTGGGGCTCTGGACGCCCGAGTTATCCGGGGTAACTCGGGCCCGGGGTGACTCGGGTTCGGATTCCCGAAAAACGAACCCGAGTTAGCCCTGACCCGAGTTACCCCTGATGATTCGGGGCTCTGGACGCCCGAGTTATCCGGGGTAACTCGGGCCCGGGGCAACTCGGGTTCGGATTCCCGAAAAACGAAGCCGAGTTAGCCCTGACCCGAGTTACCCCTGATGATTCGGGTCTCTGATTTACCCTCCTGCTGCCGCTCCTCCTGCTGCTCCTCCGGCTGCGGCCCCCGCCCCCCCTCCCGAGGCTGCTGCAGTGCTGCCTCGCCCACCCTTCGGCAGTCCAGCCGCCCGCCACAGGCCCCGAGCGCCAATGCCGAGGCACCCGTGGCGCAGCGGCTTGGCCTCTGACCCCCACGGGCGAACTCTCGAGGGCGGCGTCGACACCATTGACCAGCCTGGAACATGTCCCTATCCCTGTGCTGGGCACCTCCTCATCACGATGCCAATCTCAAGGATTCCCTTCTTTTTGGAGGGCGAATCCTAAGATTGTCATCGCCTTTTGGCGTGTCAATCTTCGGGATAGGGATACGTTCGAGGCTGGTAAACCATTCCAGGGCAGCCGGGTCCAGGCGCGCAGTTGCCGGGGCATCCGGCACCAGGGGGGGGGGGCGAGGGAACGGAAGGGAGGGGCCGACAGGGAGATGGGGAAACAGAAGGGCATGAGAGGGGACAGGGAGAACGGGATGCCGCGCAGGCCGATGGGGAAGGGCGAGGAGGGAGACGAGGGAACGTGATTCCAGGCGGGGATGAGGTGAGGACGCAGGGCGGGAGAAGGAGGCAGAGGCCCGTGCCTGCAACAGCACATCGTCGAGGATAATTCCCGCGCTGATTTGTTGTTTCCTCCAGCCGTGGTGAACCTCAGCAGCTACCGACAAGGTCGCGGAAAGAGGTGTGCACCTTCCTCCTCCACCACTCCCTTCTCCTTCTCCGCCTCTACCTTTTTTCTCTTCCCCCCGGAGGCGACCAGTGACGTGATAGCCATGGTCTAATGATAGCTCGGACGCAAGCACTCTGATCACCGCCGGGGCCTCGGACCATCGTCGCCCCATGAAAACCTTCGGCGAGGTACGGATGGCGACCTCCAACTAAAAATTCCGCTGTGAAGCCCTGTCCTTGGAGACATGAATCGCACCGCCACCACGACCTGGTCGATGAAGGCAAATGGAACTTCCATCATGGAAATCAGGCAGGTGTTGTAGTTCGGGCGCTCCCGCGGGGCATGCTGCAGACCTGCAGCACGCAGATCAGCCCATCCTGCATCCCGAAACGTGGTGGTGGTGCGCTTCGTGCTCCAAAATCCGCCGGCCCCCTCGTGGGGCCACCAGGCTGTACGCCGAAGCTTCGCTGTTTCCTGTACCAGTTGCAGCTTCCAGTTTCCACTGTTACAGTTCTGCTTCTTGCTGCTTGCTGTTCCTTGTTGACTTCTTACTGCTTACTGTTCCTTGTTAATGGACCGCGCGAGGGGGGGAGGCCCAAAACGGACATTCTTACCACGCCCTGGGATGGTTCTCAGCATTTCTGAGGGGGCAACAACTTACACCCCTCACGCAGATCGGCGGGGTCAGGGTCCAAAAACACAGGGGAATTGCCACATGTCTCTTTAATTCGGTGGCACCCCTCACGCAGATCGGCGGGGTCAGGGTCCAAAAATACACGGGATTTGCCATATGTTTGAAATTTGCTTGCACCCCTCACACAGATCGGCGGGGTCAGGGTCCAAAAACACAGGGGAGTTGCCACATGTCTCTTTAATTCGGTGGCACCCCTCACGCAGATCGGCGGGGTCAGGGTCCAAAAATACACGGGATTTGCCATACGTTTGAAATTTGCTTGCACCCCTCACACAGATCGGCGGGGTCAGGGTCCAAAAACAATTGGGATTTGCCACATGTCTCAAATTCGGTGGCACCCCTCACGCAGATCGGCGGGGACAGGGTCCAAAAACAAATGGGATCAACTTTTTAAAAAGTTCGGCGGCACCTCTCACGCAGATCGGCGGGGTCAGGGTGCAAAAACAAACGGGATTTGCCACATGTCTGAAATTCGACGGCACCCCTCACGCAGATCGGCGGGGTCAGGGTCAAACATTAGGAGATTTGCCATTCCTGAAATTTGCTTGCACCTCTCACGCAGATCGGCAGGGTCAGGGTCCAAAAACACAGGGGAGTTGCCACATGTCTGAAATTCGGGGGCACCCCTCACGCAGATCGGCAGGGTCAGGGTCCAAAAACACAAGGGATGTGCCACATTTCTGAAATTCGGCGGCACCCCTCATGCAGATCCGTGGGGTCAAGGTCCAAACACACAGGGGATTTGCTACATTTCTGTAATTCGGTGGCACCCGTGATGCAGATCCGCAGGGTCAGGGTCGAAAAACAAACAGGTCCCGACACTGCTTCACGGCGGCGTCCAGACCTCATGATTTAGCTTTTGCATCCCCCATTATCCGAGACAGGGGGCCGGCGGCATAAGGCGAAGCCCTTACGGATTCCCTTCCCTTGCACGACATCGCCTTTCCACACTCGTCGCATGTCCCGAGCTCTTCAACAACGCTGCCTTGTGAGGGGCGCCATCGAACAGCACGTCGCAATTCTGCGCCTGCCATGGGTATTGCCCCTACCTCCGAAGCGTACCTCAAGTCCTAGTCTACTCCTTGTTCCCCCCTCGCAATCCAAGACGCCATGGGTGTATATATACATATATATACACATACATATGAGTATATATATATATATACATAGTCATATATACAAGATCTAAGAGCTCGCTTCGCTTCGCCTCAATCTTGGTCCTGCGCCCGTGCGCACCCAAACACTCGGTGAATGAATGATGTCTGCAAGCACATGATGACCATGAGAGGGGTCGCGGTCATAATTCCCGGACGGGTCATAAGCATTCCTGTGTTTGGGAGACGGCGACATACCGCGACGAGGCCATAGTCACCGATAGGGAAGAAGAGGAGAGGAGAGCGAGCAAGAAGGGAGAGAGACGGTCGGGGAAGGTGAGGAGGAAAGGCGGAGGGAGAGAGAGAGAGAGAGAGGAGAGGACAGAGGGGGGAGGAGAATGACACGAGGAGGGCGAGATAGGACGAGGAGGGAGTCAGAACAGGAGGAAGAGGAGAAGGATAAACTGGGAAAGGAACGAGTGAACGAGTGGGGGGCTGCGATGTGCGAAACTGTCGCTACCTTCGTGGGCCGCTGGCGGGTCCAGCGGAGTGGCGTGATCCGCAGACCAGAATGAGGCCTCGCCGTCCCGGGGGGCTTCGAACAGCGCAGCTGTCGCCACGTTCGTGGCCCCCTCGTCATTGCTCTTTTGTCCGATCGTGATCGCCCTCTTTCCGATGATATGAGTCGCAAGAGTGATGCCGTGAATGGGGAACACTGGTATGCGGCCTCACGTTCTTTGGCGAAGCGTTCAAGGATACTGCGAATCCTTCAAGGCGTAAGTTGGAAATGAACGGTCCTGGGTATAGTCGCCTCTTGTGTACAAAGGGTTGGGTGCGTCTCCCGGTCAGTTGTTTCTGAAGGGTCTCTTGGGAACCCCGGGGAAGCTATCCTTGGGTGTTTCTGGGACCTGTTGGGCCTTGATTGGGGCACCTTAAGCTCGAAGACGGCCCAAGAGTGCGTCAGGAAGGCCGTTCGTCGCCTCTCCTTGTCAGAAGCCTCGCGATCGCCAGGAGTGGCTCGGGGCGTCCGGGGAGGGGACTCTTGGAAGCTTTTTGGGGCGTCCTGGGGGCCTCATGGGAGCTTCTTGAGGGCCGCCTGGGGGCCTCTTGGGGGCCGCTTAGGGGCCTCTTGGGGCCCCGTGGGGCCTCTTGGGGGCCTCTGGGGGCATCCTATGGGCCTCTTGAAGCCGAAGGCTTGAAATTTGAACTTGGTTTTCGTTTTCTGCGACGCCTGTGCGGCCCGTCCAGATGGTCTCTTGGGCTGTCTTGGGGGCCCTTGAGGCACTCTTGGGCTCTCTTTGGGCGTCTTGGGGCCTTCTTGGGAGCCTCTTGGGCCGTCTTGGGGGTCTCTTGGGCCGACTTGGACATTATGAAAGGCCAAGAGGCGAATATGTTGAGAATGTACCTTTTACGATGGGAATGGTGCTATTTTGGCCTCACGGGGCCCTTTTGGGGAGCCTCTTGGGTGCCTCTTGGGCGGCTTGGGTCGCCTCGGGGCGGTCGCGGTGTCATCTGAGGCTATCTTAGGCCGCCGTCCTCGGGCGTCTTGGGCCGCTGGGGGGCCATTAAGAGCGTTTCGCCCCATCGTTCGGTGACCTGGAGGGCTTGGAAGTCCGCTGGAAAGGGGCCCGGGGGCCAAGGGCGGCCGTCCAAGAAGGTATGTGGGGAGGGGATGTGGGCCATTCGGGGGGGGATTTTTCCTTACAAGATGTATAATTATGAGAATCTCTCTCTCTCTCTCTATATATATATATATATCAGAGGTTGGGTGGTGTGAGCGGAAGCGGCCCCAACCGGGAAATCGGTGTCGGTTTCGGTTCGCGTCGTGCGTACGAGGCGAAGCTGCACGAATTCCTGAAACTGTAGGCGACACATGGAGCCCAAAAAGGTCGCAGCCCCGGATGGTTGCCCCGATGGTTGTCCCGATGGTTGTCCCGATGGTTGCCCCGATGGTTGCCCCGATGGTTGCCCCGACGGTTGCCCCAATGGTTGTCCCGATGGTTGCCCCGATGGTTGCCCCGATGGTTGTCCCGATGGTTGACCCGATGGTTGCCCAAATGGTTGTCTCGATGGTTGGCTCGACGGTTGTCCCGATGGTTGTCCCGATGGCTGTCCCGATGGCTGTCCCGATGGTTGCCCCGATGGTTGTCCCGATGGTTGGCTCGACGGTTGTCCCGATGGCTGTCCCGATGGTTGCCTTGATGGTCGTCCCGGAAGTTGTCCCGATGGTTGTCCCGATGGTTGTCCCGATGGCTGTCCCCATGGTTGTCCCGAGGGTTGTCCCCATGGTTGCCCCGATGGCTGTCCCGAAGGTTGTCCCAATGGTTGACTCGACGGTTGCCCCGATGATTGCCCCGATGGTTGGCTTGAAAGTTGTCCCGATGGTTGTCCCGATGGTTGTCCCGATGGTTGTCCCGATGGTTGCCTTGATGGTCGTCCCGGTGGTTGTCCATATGGCTGTCCCGATGGTTGTCCCGATGATTGTCCCGATTGGTTGTCCCGATGGTTGTCCCGATGGTTGTCCCGATGGTTGTCCCGATGGTTGTCCCGACTGGTTGTCCCGATGGGTATCCCGATGATTGTCCCGATGGTTGTCCCGATGGTTGCCCCGACGGCTGCCCAGATGGTTGTCCAGATGGTTGTCCAGATGATTGCTTCGACGGTTGTCCCGATGGGTGTCCCGATGGTTGCGCCGATGGTTGACTCGACGGTTGTCCCGATGGCTTTCCCGATGGTTGCCCCGATGGTTGTCCCGATGAGTGTCCCGATCGTTGTCCCGACTGGCCATCCCGATTGGTGGCCCGATGATGGCCCTGATGGTTGCCCCGATGGTTGTCCCGATGGTTGCCCCGATGATTGTCCAGATTATTGTCCCGATGGTTGTCCCAATGGTTGTACCGATGGCTGCCCAGCGGGGTGTCCCGATGGTTGTCCAGATGGTAGCTCAGATGGTTGACTTGACGGTTGCCCCGATGGTTGTCCCGATGCTTGTCCCGATGCTTGACTCGACGGTTGTCCCGATGATTGTCCCGATGGTTGACTCGACGGTTGCCCCGATGGTTGTCCCGATGGTTGTCCCGATGGTTGTCCCAGTGGTTGTCCAGATGGTTTACTCGACGGTTGGCCCGATGGATGTCCCAATGGTTGTCACGATTAACTCGACGGTTGTCCCGAGGGTTATCCCGATGGTTGTCCAGATGGTTGCCCCGACGGTTGCCCCGATGGTTGTCCCGACTGATTGTCCCGATGGGTGTCCCGATGACTGCCCCGATTGTGTTCCCGATGGTTGCCCCGATGGTTGCCCCGTTGGTAGTCCAGATGGTTGTCCCGATGGTTGCTCCGATGATTCCCCCGATGGTTGCCCCGATGGTTGTCCCGATGGTTGCCCAAATTGTTACCACGATGGTTGACCCGATGGTTGTCCTGATGGTTGTCCCAATGGTTGTCCCGATGGTTGTCCCGATGGTTGTCCCGATGGTTGTCCCGATGGTTGTCCCAATGGCTGTCCCGATGGTTGTCCCGATGGCTGTCCCGATGGCTGTCCCGATGGTTGTCCCGATGGTTGTCCCGATGGTTGTCCCGATGGCTGTCCCGATGGCTGTCCCGATGGTAGTCCCGATGGTTGACCCGACTGGTTGTCCCGATGGGTGGCCCGATGATGGCCCCGATGGTAGTCCCGATCGTTGCCCCGATGGTTGCCCAGATGGTTGCCCAGATGGTTGTCCCGATGGTTGTCCCGACTGGTTGCCCCGATGGTTGTCCTTCTGGTTGCCCCGATGGTTGTCCCGATGCGATTGATACCCCGATGGTTGTCCCGATGGTTGTCCCGATGGTTGTCCCGACTGGTTGTCCCGATGGTTGACTCGACGGTATTGGTCCCGATGGTTGACTCGAGGGTTGTTTTGATGGTTGCTCCGATGGTTGTCCGGACTGGTTGTCCCGAGGGGTTTCCAAATGAATGCCCCGATGGTTGTCCCGATGGTTGCCACGGCGGTTGTCCCGATGGTTGTCCCGATGATGGCCCGATGGTTGTCCCGATGGTTGCCCCGATGGTTGTCCCGATGGTTGCCCCGATGGTTGTCGCGCTGGTTGTCCCGATGGTTGTCCCGATGGTTGACTCGACGGTGAGTCCGATGGTTGTCCCGATGTTCGTCCAGATGGTCGACTCGACGGTTGTCCGATGGTTGTTCCGATGGTTGTCCCGATGGTTGTCCCGATGGTTGTCCCGACTGGTTGTCCCGATGGGTGTCCCGATGATTGTCCCGATGGTTGTCCCGATGGTTGCCCCGACGGCTGCCCAGATGGTTGTCCAGATGGTTGTCCAGATGGTTGTCCAGATGATTGCTTCGACGGTTGTCCCGATGGGTGTCCCGATGGTTGCGCCGATGGTTGACTCGACGGTTGTCCCGATGGCTTTCCCGATGGTTACCCCGATGGTTGTCCCGATGAGTGTCCCGATCGTTGTCCCGACTGGCCATCCCGATTGGTGGCCCGATGATGGCCCTGATGGTTGCCCAGATGGTTGTCCCGATGGTTGCCCCGATGATTGTCCAGATTATTGTCCCGATGGTTGTCCCAATGGTTGTACCGATGGCTGCCCCGCGGGGTGTCCCGATGGTTGTCCAGATGGTAGCTCAGATGGTTGACTTGACGGTTGCCCCGATGGTTGTCCCGATGCTTGTCCCGATGCTTGACTCGACGATTGTCCCGATGATTGTCCCGATGGTTGACTCGACGGTTGCCCCGATGGTTGTCCCGATGGTTGTCCCGATGGTTGTCCCAGTGGTTGTCCAGATGGTTTACTCGACGGTTGGCCCGATGGATGTCCCAATGGTTGTCACGATTAACTCGACGGTTGTCCCGAGGGTTATCCCGATGGTTGTCCAGATGGTTGCCCCGACGGTTGCCCCGATGGTTGACTCGACTGATTGTC